CGCACACTCATATCAGATTTACACATGTACAGCCATTTTGTGTTACGTAGCCAGACTCTGTGTGCATCCAATATCCTGTTTTAAGTATAAACATTTCAAGCAAGCAATAATAAATGAGAATAATAATGGATATTTTTTTAAAGCAGTAGAAGTGATAGCAATTTAGTTGCGTCAACGAGAGAATTCGTCAAGATTAAGAAATCTGTCATCGATGGTAGCACCGACGAGATACTATTAAAGACCGACATCCTTATGGGAGTTCGTGTCCTTGTGAATATTGAAGTGATTAAGAATTAAAAACTGATAATATTGTACTAATTTTATGATTTATTAGTTTATTTTTATTCAGTTTATAATTATGTGTTATATGTGTAAAAAGAACAAAACATTGTTTCAATAAAAACATGGTTTATTTTATTGTTGATAAATGATTAGTTACATTTATAATTATATGTGTATGTGTATATGTGTAAAAAGAACAAAACATTGTTTCAATAAAAACATGGTTTATTTTATTGTTGATAAATGATTAATTACAACATAATTATGATTTTTAGATAGTCGCTATACATTATGCAAACATTTACAAAAAAAAAAAAAGAGTAAACTTGAGTGATACGTCGATCGATCGATATATGAACAAGGCTCATAATATATTAATAACATTTTCTTACAACATAATTACGATTATTAAACAGATATCGCTATATTTACAGATTGTAATATAAATATATAAAGACGGTAGAAATTTGCATTACTAAATTTATTTAAGGCACAGTTATCGTTTGCTCACAATTCTTCCATTTTTCAGAGAAATATCTACTATTGGCCATTTTATAACGCCGGAATAAATCGAGTCGTATAAATATACTACGCATAACAATTAGGGGTTTCAAACCTACAAATTTTGTCGATATTAAAGAAACTGTATCTCTGCTTCCAGAGATCGTAGGACAATTTTTCTGGGTGCGTTTTAAAGGGTGAAACTTCTTCTATGAAACAGTTAATTGTCAAATATCTCCCTTCCGCTTTATTGCTCTTTATTCAATGCTTTATAAAAAGTGTTACAGTGATCGGATTTAGTTCAAATATGCGCCGTTTTGTTCGATAATCTGTTTCCATCTAGACGGCAACTTCATAATACCCCCCTCGTAGAAGCCCCCCTCCTTACTTGCGAAGAACTCGGACAGCCACTTTTCACAATCCTGTATTGAGTTCAACTTTACACCACCAAGGGCGTTCGCCATGGACAAGAACAGGTGGTAATCACTTGGCGCTATGTCCGGGCTATATGGTGGATGCGATGAAACCTCCCATCCGAGCTCCCGTAGCTTCTGACGAGTCATCAACGAAGTGTGTGGTCTGGCGTTGTCCTGGTGGAACACTACACCCCTCCTGTTGGCCAATTCTGGACGCTTCTGGTCGATCGCCTGCTTCAAGCGGTCCAGTTGTTCGCAGTAGATGGTAGAATTAAGCGTCTGGCCATATGGGAGCAGCTCA